CCTTTCTACTGCTTCTCCTCTTCTTTCCAGTGCAACCGGAGGCGGCAGACACGAGGGCCCACTCACCCACCAGCAGACCTTGGCCATCCTGTTTGTCCACACTTCTCCTACATCGAGATGACCTAATTTCTCTGGCAGACGGGATGGGACAGGGCCAAGAAGAAAGGCGAGCCTTAGGTTATTACCAGTAACCTCAAGTCAGTCCTGGCTGCTCTGGGGTCTAGGAAACAAGCATAGCACAACCCAAGAAGGCACCTCTTTTCCCACCGGCCCGTGGTCCTGGGGTGTCCTTTGGGAACCTTGTTTGGATGACAGTGGCCAAGTGTAGAATTCTGACACTTCAAGGTTTCTGGCCACTCTTCCCTTCCACTGACGCCAATTCTGACCCATCTTAATGCCATCAAAGCTTCTAGAACCTTCTAATAGCACTCCTAATGCCTCTTTTACCTGTAAGATTGTCCACTCACACACTAGGTTCATCATGTATGAGGTACTGTTCTATGTTCTGCAGAGAACACCCTGAGAATATTATAAACGGTCCCACAACTTTCTCCCAAAGAACAATGTCCTGAAATGTTGATGTTAAATAACATTGATGACAAACCTCAGAGAGGCCGGGCAAAACATATCATCAGCCTGTTCCAGTTTACACACTCAGGTGAAGGAAAAACAAAAATGGCAGAGGGGGAGAAAAGAAGCCTTGGAATAAAGTGAGAGTGCAAATATGCAGCCCTTGCTCCTGCCTGTTGAACCGACTGCAACACGCCAACCTCGTGGCTTCTTTTGTGCATCTGGCGTATCCCATGGGCCGACGAGGCTCCTATTCGCAAGAAAATAGCTCGGAACAGAGGAACTGGGACTTCCACTTTAACATATTCTCTTTTGTAAGCAGGACTGCATTTCTGCCCCCGTACCCCCGCTGCAAGTCTGCTGGCTGGCCATCTTTGCTCACGTCATTTGCTGTGCCCTGTCAGCTTGCTCTCTGTAGCCCCAGCCCTCCTAAGGTGTCCGTCAAGATATTTTTATTGAGCTTTAAAATTTTCTGTATTCTCAAAGGTTAGGGCATCTTCTTGTATTTAACACTTTATCCTTTGAAGATGACAAAATAATGGACCTCACTAGTTACCCCTTGCTGACCAATTTAGTCTACAGATCCACCACCGTTACCGAGTCGATTCTGACTCGTAGTAACCACATACAGCGTTCCCAAGGCTGTAAATCCTTACACAAGTGGACAGCCTCAACCTTCTCCCAAGGAGCTGCTGGTCGGTGGGAACTGTCAACCTATGGTTAGTAAGTAGTCCTATCCTTACCAGACAGCACCACCAGGGCTCCTTAATTTAGAGACAATCCCTCTCCTATCTTCTTCACTCTTTTGAAAAGTATTTGCAGCAAGTCAGGAGCCCTGGTGGTGAAGCAGTTACCCATTGGGCTACGATCTGCACGCTTGGCAGTTCGAAACCATCAGCAACTCCACGGGAAAAACACTGGACTTTCTACTCCCAGTTTTGTCAACCCACAGGGGGTCGCTGAGTCAGCGCTGAGTCAATGGCAGTGTGAGTTCAGCAAGTCATTTACCCCATGCTGGCTTTCCTGGAATGGAGTTTTGAACACAAGCCCACCTATGCTCTACCTTGCCTTTGTGCCAGCTGTAAAATGCATGCTAGGAGACATTTCATTGCTTTAGTTGACACATTATCTCAAAATGATTTGATATTCACAAAACCTAATCACTCATCCCCCCCCACCACGGTTCCCATTTTACAGATGGATAAGGGATGTGAACAAGTACCCAGAACGATCAAAGTCCCTTACCCACTCCACCCTTCCTTGGCCGCCTGAAGTGTGGATTGTCAACAGCACAATCCTCACCAGAACTGTAGTCCACTTAAAGCTGTCCCATACAGCAGTGGTTATGCTACTTGGGAAATATTTTCCTAAAAAGTACATATAATGATTACAACCCATCAGACTTACATACTGTCTCCTCCCATTGAGTACCATTGGAAGAAGCACAGGGCTTTCTACTCCGGTAGTCAGTCCAGGGCAGGGACAGTTACACCCCCGCCCTATGGGGTCGCCAGAAGCCAGAATCGACTTAACGGCAAGTTGTTGTTTTAACCATCATCTGTTCACAACTGCATCCAACAACTGTGGCAAGAACTGGCCGCCACCAAAGCCATCTCCTGCGGGACCGATCGCCAGTGGAGCTGCTCGCCAACGAGCTGTCTCTGGCCACCCTCTCTCGATGGCTTTGGCCATACCTTCACTCTCAATTGCCAATGACAAAAGCTTCATTAGCATGGTGGAGTGCCCGTGAAACAAGA